GTGGCTACCTTCTTGGCTTTGGTCCCAGCTCTTTTTTAGGCCCCTATCCTTGTTTGCTTTTCCCCACTTTTTTTTTTTAACTTATTATAGAAGTAGAACATGTAGACAGAAATGTGCACAAATCATCAGGGCTCAGCATGATGGTTTTCCCAATTGTCCCACCACAGACACCACAGACTAAGGCACCCTCCCCCTAAGTCCAGCCTTCTAATATGCACTTGCTACATTTTCTGTGTGCTTTTAAGTCGTTTTAATTCCTTTTGGCAACCGGGCTTATTTGACTAAATCCAAGCACATGTATCTACATATCTATTTTCTTGGTAGTTCTATGTGAGTCTCATCCTTCATGTCCCAAGCCTGACTGTTTACAGCAGTGGTCCCCAACCTTTTTTGGCAGCAGGGACTGGAGCTCCTATGAAAATCTAATGCCTGATGATCTTAGGTGAAACTGAGGTGGTGATGCTAGCGCTGGGGAGTGGCTACAAATACAGATGAAGCTTCGCTTGCCCGATACTCAATTCCTGTTGTGTGGCCTGGTTCCTAATAGGCCACAGACCAGTACTGGTGCACGGCCCGGGGGTTGGGGACCCCTGGTTTACAGAACTTGGGGCAAAAACAGGAAAGAGATGAAGCAGCTGGTGGCCTCCAGGCAGAGGGGAGCAAATGGAAGGCCGAGCCTCACAGGAACCTGTGGGAGGCACTGCTGAGTTAAAAGGCAGGTCTCTGTGGTCTTGACCTGAGGTTTAGGCGCATTGAAGGCCATGCTAATCTCTTTTGAAATCCCCAGAAATGTGATGGGTCCAGTGTTTCAATCAGGAGAGGCTCATCTGCCTTACAGGATCCACGAACCTCACTATGGCCACTGGATCCTGACCACCTCCATCTGAGCTGGCCCCGGGGGCTTGGCGGGCAGTACCTACCTAGGTCCTGGTTGTGGGCTTTCTCCTGGCCTTCAAAGTAGAGCAGGCTGTATCCACTCCAGAGCTTGTTCATGCCCAGAGGGCACATCGGCTCCTGGTCTGTCTGACTGTGCTTCACCAGGAGATAGCCGATGCTGACGCTGCGGCCAGGCATGCCGGGCAGGCCAGGGGTCCCTGGGCGGCCTGGCTCCCCTAGGGCCCAACAGAAAGTGGCCGCCTTTCAGTGCCATGTGGATCTCAGCCCCTGACACATGGCAGATATCCCATGGTGACATTTACAGCTGTTGTTTGGCTTTCTCCCAAGGCCAGGGTCTCAGTGGCTCTGCCCTTATAGACCAAGGGCCTCCTGGGGAGGACCCGACCTATGTCTGTGCCCAGTAAGCGTGGGACGATGACAATGATGGTAATGAACAAGGGCAAAGACTCAGCCCTGTGAGCTTTCCTCTCAGGATGTGCTGGTGCTGAGCAGAACTAGAAATGAAGTCCAGTCCCCCCACCCCCTCAACGAATGGGCCTTCTCTACCCCAGGCGGCAGTCTCCGCTTTGCTGGGCTCTCGGGGAGAGGCGGCTCATTGCACGCTTGGGCCATCCTGGGGCTAGAAATCTGCCTCCGTAACATCCACCCAGGGGGCTCGATTCTGCCTTGGAGCACAGCGTAAGGTCTACTCTACCCCCAATAAGACAGCCTTCGCAGTGCTCGAAATCAGCTGTCCTGGTTGATCCTGCCTTCCCATTACCCTTCCTCTCCTGGGACATTTTCACATCTCGTTGCTTTCTCGTAGGATACCCCCTCCGCCCTGTGATGTCTCAGTCTCCTAGCATGGATGGCTCCCATCTATCTGTCCATAGAATTTCCCATAACATGGGAAATTCACATCTGAAGATACAGATGTGAATTTCCCATGTTACACAATCTCCCGGCTATGGGTGGTAGATTGCTTCTTTCCGAGATCTGGGTGCTAATAATGCGGTCTCATATCATACTGGCTCAAACTGAACACGGGTGGATGATGAATCTCAAGAATTTTTTTACATGGCTTGTTATTATTTCTGGCCTATCCTATCCTGCACATGTACAAATAATATTAAGAAATCAATAATACAAGACTTTACAATGGTTCCTGCTAATATAATTGGTTTCTTTGAGCTTATTGTCTCAGGCCTTCAGATCTTTACGACTCCTGTCTCTCAGAGTATGCCAACTGCTTCCTTCTCTGAGGCTCCTGCAGATGTCTCAGAGGAAGGAAGGAAGCCAGCCTGTCCTGGGGATTCTCTGTGCCAAGTGTTCTGCTAGGACCAAGGCTGTAGCAAGGGCCCGGGGAGTTGAGCTGGAGTTGCAGAACAGAAAGGGTGGCAGCCTCTCATCTCTGCTCACCTTGGCACTTGTTTATTTCCTCCCTCATACCACAGTCCATTTGTCAGACCACGGCGGGACCCTGAAGAACTCCCTTGCCCTCTGCCCCTTTCACCATCCATCGCTCACCTTCCTGGCCAATTGGCCCCTGGTGCCCGATGGGCCCTTGGTCTCCTCGGAATCCAGGAACAGCAGACACACCACCTCTTCCCTGGGGACCTGCCTTCCCTGGAGCCCCACGGAAACCTGCAGAGCCAATGAAACAGGTATGGGTGTCACAGAAAGAGTGACAATGCTTGGCATCACTGGTGCTTAACAAATGCTTTTCAGCAAGAAAACAAAAGTGAAAACAAAGCTAATAAGAAAAGGAGCCTTTCCTTGGCAGCCTTACAGCAGAGCTCCTACCTGGTTCTCCTGGGGGACCCTGGGGCCCCATTTCTCCCTGTGCTCCAGGGGGGCCTCTTCTTCCCTGTGGGCCCACTGGCCCCGGCTGGACGGTAATCCTCTGGGGGATTCCTACAATCCCTGGGGATCCTGAAGGACCGGGGGAACCTGGAAAGGGAAACAGAAGACCAGTCGACCCAGAAAGATCACTTGCGTTCTTGCTCTGATTTCTATTCTATTTTTCTTCACTTGTTGAAATTAACCTTGGAGTTCCCTAGAACAATCTTGTTCTCTAGAGACGAAGGTGGATACTATCTATCTGAGTGGCCACTCAAGAATTACTGTCATTCGCTAAGTGTCCATGGGAGAGCCAGCAGACCTAGTCTTGCTGGGGTTTGGTCCCCATGACAAAGAGTGACTTTAGAGGTGTCCCCATGTCTGGATGGGCAGACATAGTTCTAAAATACACTTCTGGCAGCAGCTGACCGAAGATGCTGGCCCTGCGGAATTGTGGACGGCCACTTACCCGGGAGTCCTCGGTCTCCTTTGGGTCCCTTTGGGCCTCGGTCGCCCACAGTTCCGGTGGTGCCTGTGTTTCCCATGAATCCTTGCTCACCTCTGGGCCCTTCAAGACAAGCAGGACATTGAGGACACACATGCCTGGGCGGGGGCTCTCGTCATCTCTGATCAGAGCTGCCAGCCTCCCCGAAAAGAGGACCCTTTCGTGTGGGCAGTTACCTTTTTCTCCTGGCAGACCGAACACACCAGGCTGGCCCTGGGGCCCGGGGTCCCCACCCCATCCTTTGGTCCCCGGGTTTCCTGGAGCTCCTGGGTTCCCCTCATCTCCTTTGCTTCCAGGAAGAGCAGCAGGCCCAGGTGGCCCTGGGGGCCCTCGATAACCTGTCAACATCAGTCACAAGAAGGGAGAGTATAAACAGGAGGAAGGCACAGTCGTGGCCGCGGGCAGTGGGACTCGCTGCGGGAGGTGCCCAGGAGGCCAGATAGGAAGTCATCCATTTAGGGGATGGTCTTTGGCAAGTCTGTCACACTGGGTAACTTTTTTCTTTCTCTTTATCGTGGTCAATAAGTAACACAAAATTATTTTTTTAATCATCTTGAGGGCGCACTGCAGTGGCATTCGGTACATTCACACTGTTGTGCAACCACCACCGCCGTCCATCTCAGGACTTTTCATCATTCCAAACTGCAGCTCAGTCCCCACTAAACACCAGCTCCTCATTCCCCTTCCCATAGCCCCGGCAACCCCCACTCTCTCTTCTGTCTCTATGAATTTGACTCTTCGAGGGACCTCACGGGAGTGGAATCACACAGTATTTGTCCTTTCATGTGTGCCCCCAGAGATTCCAGTGCACGGAAGAGTGAGCCTTGCTTACCTTCCAGGCCAAATATCCCTGGTGCCCCTTTGTCACCAGGGAACCCAGAGATGTTGGAAGGGGGCGTGATGCCTGGAAACCCCTGAAGTCCTGGACTCCCGACTGGGCCTCGTTCCCCTTAGGAAGGAAATAGAGGTTATTTTTAGTATCAGCATCCGACTTTTTAACTTATCGTTTCCCCTCCAAGCTATCACTGTCCATGAGCAGAGCCACCAAGGAGAGGAAGCGCTGTAAGCTGCCCTGAGGCCGAGGAACGTCAGAACATAGCAGAACAGAGCAGGCTTTCGAGGTGGCCCTCACTCTCACCAGCCCCATCCTGCTGCCAAGAGGGTCCACCTGTGGATCCACCTGCACTGGGGTCTTGTCCTCATGGGCAGGCTACTTGCTCAGAGACTGCCTTACTGTGCTCAGTCGCTGTGGCCACTACTTGTATATGACCCCTCAGGCCTACTCTGATCGTGTCACCGGAGAGGTTAGCTCTGTCGGTTCCGCTAGCGCTTGTGATGGGATGGAAGGTTCCAATATTGGCAAGATGAAGCTTGTTGCCAATATTGATATTTTTAATCCTCCCTGTGGTTGTTCTTCAGTATCTTGGATCCCAGCTATGGACAGAGTCCATCCTCATCGCTCACAGATTCTGTGTCTGCCATCTGGCCTACTCACTAAGATTTACTGGTGACCCCAAATCAATATTGTATTCCAGGACAAGCAGGAGAGGCAGAATATTTGAATCCCATCTGAGGTGCCCCATTTTAGCTCAGAGTGAAAATAAGGATCCCCCTTTTTTTTGGTCTATTTAGTGCCACTTTTTAAAATATTTTTTTTACTTTTTCCTGGTGATTTCACTGTTTAAATTGGCCCCTAAGCATCATGCTGAAGTGCTGTCTGGCTGGCTTCTAAGCTCAGGAAGGCTGTGATGTGCCTCATGGAGAAAACATGCGTGTTAGATGAGCTTCCTTCAGGCCTGAGTTCTAGCACTGAAGGCTGTGAGTTTGATGTTATTGAATGAACAATATATGTTAAACAAAATGTCTTTAAATGGAAACACACGTAAATAAAGGTTATGTATTGATTGGTTGATGAAATATGACCTGGGGCTCACAGGAACCAAACCCTGCGTTTCTACTAGAAGCAATGATTTGGTATTTGCTAATTCAATATTTATAGCGATATTATAGAAAACAATTACTTCAAGTAACAAGAATTGACTGTATTTGAGTCAAAGGCTGGTACCCTTTGGCACGAATCGAGGACAGACCTTTGAGGGCAATCCCCACATAAGGAAATCTGTGGGAATCCTATTCCTCCCTGTGATTCAGCCAACCCAATATTTATGGGCATCCATTTGTGCCGGGCAGGCTTGGGTGCTGCTGAGGCAGTGGTGAGATGAACGGCCAGCAAGGAAAGAGGCTAGTTTCTTCCTTAATTGCCATACTAATATTTGTTTTCCCTTAAGGTCTGGGGACTCAGAGATTAGTACTAGAACACTGAAAAAACAAAACAAAACAAAATAAAACAGAATGTCATAGTATCCAGGGTCCATCATCTCTACTGGAGAGAGAAGAATGAGTTGGGACAACACAATGCCAATTTGTGAGACTGAGAAAAAGTAACAAACAGTGGTCTCTTGTGTCCCCCACACGGCTGGAGACTAATCGATTTTCATTAGCAACATAAAGAGATTTTCACACTGGGAGGTTCCGCTACCCAGTACAGGAGACAAGATCCTGTGCAACTTCGGAGTGGGACGAAGACACACATGCCAGGAAAGCATTTAGAAAGGTGTCACCTCGGTCTCACTAATTACAGGCAAGAAACAAGTGCATTTACTAGACCGAGGGGCCCAGCCAGCTGCCATTTGCATTTTGATATAAAATGACACCAAGTGAGCTGCTTCTAACTATTGTCACAAAGTAACAGAAACAGATGGTGAGCATCAGTAACTCTTGAGTTAGAAGATCCAGAATGGCCAGATTCCTGTGAAATCATAATGAACTTAACGAGTGATTAGGCCTCTGTTAATGAGAACATGGAGTGAGCAGGAGTTAGGCTGCTGGAATCAGGGTCAAAACAACTTCATGGGCAAACCATGATCAGAAGACCAAGCATCAGCTGCAAAAATGATTGAGGCTGCAAATTCGAGCTTCTGGCCTGAGATGAAACTCATGCAAGAGACAAGAGATTGAGATTATTTTCCAGCTCATAGAGGAGAGTGAGAGTCCTGACCAGCTGTCTGTGAATGTTACTACCGAAAGTCATCTTTCCTTATTTCTGGCCAGAGGCTGAGGCCCAATGGGCACAATGAAGGGTCTGCTCTGGCCTCCAAGACCGCTCAGAAGCTACCAGGTCACTGGGCTATTGTGACTTTTGTGCAAGAAGAGGGCCTTCTAGGAGATCAATGGCTTTAAAAATGAGACACTATGCTTTAGGACTGTTTGGGAACCTGAGATGTGTTTTAGGTGCCTTCGATGGAGAGCAGGGAGCTACACAGAAGGTTCAAGAGGAGTTTTGGAAACTGATGCTGCAGAGAGAACGTGTAATAGGACCATTTGAAGTAAGCTAAGGGTATCCTGGAGCACACCTAACTTTTTCAGTCAAGGTCAAAGAAAGTTACTCTATAACTTTACAACATTAATCACCAATAAATATTTATTGAGCACTTACTCTATGCCAGGCATTTAGCTAAGTTAAAAGCAGGGGAATGAGAGAGGCAGTTTCTGCTCTTGTGGAAGCTGTACTCTATCCTTGTCAGGTGCCGCGTCTGAGCAGCATGCTGTGTGAATCAGATGTTAACCCTCATCATGATAGAAATCATGATGCCGTGATGTTTTGTGAACACTATATGCTAGGACCATGTAGATTTGAGGCCTCTCACTTCCCTCTGTTTCTCTCAGGCTGGGTCTCATCCTCATCTCAAAGGGACTCTT